ATTCAGGGAATGAGAAGGACAGGGTATGTGGTCAGATGTGCATATGTTTTAAAACTTCAGAGAAAAGAACCATCAGCTGTGGTTCTCACGATAATACCATTCAAGAGGTTTTAAAACTGAAGTCTTGACAATAAAGTCACAAATTAGTCTGAGTTTTTAAAAAGGAGGGCAGTATCTAAAAATAAAAGTGGCTGCACAGGGAGCTCTCTAAGGCACATGGATCTGAGTTCTCATGTTCTCAAAAAAACCCTTTTGGCATACTTTTAAAATGTATGAATCTGAACACAGTAGAGCAGAACAGTTAAGATGGCTTTTAGAATCAGACAACATTTGAATCTTGACTTTGCTGCCTACTAGGTGTGTGATCTTGGAGACATCACTTAACCTTTCTGAGCACTAATATCTAAATCTGTAAAATGAGGCTAATAGGATGCACTTTGTAAGGCAGTGGTGAATTAAATAAAATAGCATATGTGAAACCAACCCCTGCTATCAGGGCTAGCATGTAGCTAGCCACATAGTAAGTATTTAATGTTAGCCGTTATTACTGTCCTTCAGGAAATCAGAGATGCTCCTTCTTAAACAAAAGGACAAGAGCAAAAGAATAGTGCCAATGGGTAAGAAGCGTATGAGGTAGGATCAGTGTCCAGACAGGTGATGGAACACTTGTGAGATCCCTCAGCAACATACTGGGTTCCTTGGTAAAATCACCAGGAAAGAAGGTAGATGTAATGCTTGGACCAGACAAGACATTATCAGTGGCTGGCTAGTTAAGGTCAGGGTAGTGACTTCTTGCTCATGTCACTGCTTTCTTCCAGGAATGATGTGCTTTGAGAACAAACACAATGCAGATGGAATTGAGGGCCAATAAAGAGCCTTCCTCACCACCATAAAGGAGTCTCTGTCTCTCCATGTGGGGGAGAGCACTGCAAAGTTCATAAATATAGTAGGGTTTTGCTCAACACAAACTACTTTCAAGAATCCTGGGGAAATGGGAGGCTACAAGTCAGAAGCCACAGAAAAGCACATTCGGCTTCAATTAGCAAAAGTACCTGGGTGATAACCTCACCACTGCAAAAAACAAAACAAAACAAAAACTTCAGAAGTAGCAGAAAGGATGCATTCAGAAAATACAGAGGTGTGTTAGTACCTAGCTATGGCAAAATTCTAGAGCAGATGATTAAAACTGAGATTATTATGGCAGTAATAATAACAACAACAATAATATCAACAAGCCTCTCCACTTCTGCCCTGTGTTCTCCAAAGTTCACTCTTGCTGGGTGCTGGTGGCTCACACCTATAATCCTAGCTACTCGGGAGGCAGCTATCATAAGGATTGGGGTTCAAAGCCAGCCCAGGCAAAATAGTGTGTGAGACCGTATCTCAAAAAGAAAAAAAAAAAAAAATCACAAAAAAGGGCTGGTGGTGGCTCAAAGTATAGGCCCTGAGTTCAAACCCCAGAACTGCAAAAAAAAACAAAAAAAACAGAACACCGCCAAAACCCTTTACTCTCTATTCAGCTTATCAGCCAGAGATATTTCCTGATGTCATAGCATGCATGTCTGCTCAGAACCCTCCTGTGGCTCTCTTCTTCCAGGAATAAAAAAAACCAGTGTCCTTACAGTGACCACAAGACCCCCACACGAGCTGCTGCTGCTGTTCTGACCTGGGGCTTTACTGCTGTGCCTCTCCCTCCCTCTTGCTCCACCACCCAGCCTCCTTGCTGTCTCCCTGGCTGGAGTGCTCATCCCAAGATAACTGCTTGGCTCACTCCCCGAAGCCTTTGCTCAGATGTCACTTTCTCAGTGAGACTTTCCATGACTGCCCTACTTAAGTCTCCACCCTGACTTTTTCTTTTCCTCCATGGTACTCATTATGCCCTGTTAGGATGATTTTTTTTTTTACTCATTTCTCCTCTTTATCATCTTTCTTCCCTCACTAAACTGCAAGATCCCTGGGCTCAGGAATTTTTGTCTGTATCTCCAGTTCCTAGAACAGCGCGTACCTCATAGTCATACTCTTTTCATAGTCCTTGCTTGGCAGGGAGGGAAGAAGATGGCTTGGGTAGACTTAAGAGAGTTCACTAGCTTAGACTGATAAATCATCTCAGTTTTCCCAGAACTGAGAGAGTTCCTGAAAAATGGGAATTTCAGTGCAAAGACTAGGAAAGTCCTACTTGGTCCCCTACACTAGATCAACCAGTCTCATCTACTTCCACCCTCCCCCACCCAACCCCTTTGGTGGTATTGGGTTTTGAACTCATGGTTTCACACTTTCACCTATTTCTGTGATCAGTGACCAAACTGAGTGTTCCTAGGAATGCTTCATATCCTCTATATCCTCATTTTGGCCCAGCCTCCCACAAAGCCTGCCTTGACACCCCTGCAGATGAAATGCAGAAATGTGGACTTCAAGAGAGTCTATTTAGGTGGTTTGAAGCTGGCTGAGCAGCTAGACATGTTGATTAATGGGCCCAGTGTCAGGCTGGTGAGGAGCTGCAGTGGAAGGCTACAGAACTGGCCCAGGTCTGCACCACAGTCTACCTAAGTGAGGACAGCAAAGGCAGGGCAGAATTTGCCAGTGGCACACAGTTGAGAGGGAAAACTAGTACGCTAATCAGTTGGGTTGGCTTTGAAATCACTCCAATAGATGGAAGTGATCTGCCCTAAGAAGCAGCTTAAGATTCAAACAGAAATAAATACTGTTTCTATTTAGGATTTAAGGAAAAAACAGCCATCTTAAATATGCAAGAAGGGACCAAGCTTAATCATATTTTTGCTTTTTATAAACCTGGTATGTTTAGTTGACTATGTATTCAGTCCAGTGTGAAAACTAAGAGTGCAAATGTGGCCTTAGGCTGTGTTGATGGACACACAGAGCAGAGACAAAGGCCCAGGAGGGTCCCACTGTCCATCCTTGTGGAAACACACCTGAGCCATGTGTCCAGCTCTGTACCAGAGAGAGTCTGCTCACTTGCTTTAGCTCAGTTTCTAGCTATTCCAGGATCCAGCAACCTAGAAAATGCCTCTTCCTCCTTCTTCCCAACAGCAGTGCCATTTATCTTTCCAGGAGGAAAGAGGTCACTAGCTATCTTCCTTTCCCACCTTACCTACCTTAGTTTCCTGAGGGGTAGCCAACCAGTTCAGGGCCTGGGGATTGGTTTGAGAGACAGAGTAAGTTCCCATAAGACTTCTCCCAGATGAAGAGATTCGTTTCCAAGCACTGGAGCAGCTGTGAGCCGTATGGTAGCTGGGAAGCAGCCATGCTTCCATACTCCCAGGTATATGAAACCTGGGAGCCAGAACTGCATCCCTGTGGCTGGGCAACTTCTGTTTCCTCAGGGGTTCACAAGTTCTCTCCGTTTCCTGTCTGTGTAACTGAGGGGTGGAAGGGAAACTGGTAGATTAGAGGCAGCAAATGGTTCTGAGGACTGGGGACTGGGAACACTCCCTCTCTCCATTTTCCAACCAGGGCACATTTTCAAGTGTTTATAGCTAGAAGGACCTAAAGCTCAAGAACCATTAGACCTGTTGGGGTCACCTTTTAAGCTGCTATATCCCAGCCCAGACTCGTTGGGAAACTCTGGAGTGGCACTAGGAGTGGTGAGGCTCTGGGTGCTTATTTAAAGGAAGTGCAGGCTGGTCCCTCTGTTCCTCCCCACTGGCCCCATTCCAGTGATGCCCACTGTCCTGAGGCCCTTGAGCTCCATCCAATGATGCCCAGTGGTCTCAAAGGGTCACGCTCAGGCTAGCAGCACCATGGTCACTTGAAAACCTGTTAGAAATGCAAATCCTCAGGCTCCTTCCAGCTCTTAACAGATCAGAAACTCTGGGCTGGGACTGGCCATATGTGTCCAACAAGCTCTGCAGGGGAGTCTGTTTCAGGCTGAAGTGTGAGGACCCCTTCTCAGGAGGAAGGAGGCTTCTAAACCCACACTTGTTGATGATCTTCAGAGAACCCTGCCCTTTGTGTTTACCAACACACACGCTGCTCTCTGGCTTTGGTGGGCATGTTCTTGCTCTAGGTCCTCCTAGAGACTGATGCTCTGTTCCTGGTTGGTGTTCACTGGTGTGAACATTTGCCATCTTGGTGGTAGTTTAGGATTTGCTTCCAGCAAGTCTGCCACATGTGGTCTGTAACACAGGGGGACCCTCGGGCTCCTGTGGGGCTTTTTGCTAGTCACAGTAAAACCATTCCTTTTGCCAGCCTATCTAAGAAATAGCATGGTTGCCCAGTGTTCTTGGGCCCTGGTGTCAACCCTCAGTTGCCCACAGTGGTCCCTCTGCCCTTGGCTCTGTTGGTTGATGTTCCTCTTTGATCAACAGAAGCCCATCAGTTAAAAAAAGCCCAAAAAGCAAACCAGGCTTATTGAAAATTATACCAAATGGAATGAAAGATAAATGCAACAATTTCCTTATCCCACAGTCCTCCCCTCCTCAAACCTTCCGTCACCCTGGGTCCTGCTCCTGCCCCAGCGAGCCAGAGTTCTTGCTGTCTTGATGATTTGCAGTTCTCTGCATGACTCTGCCTCTTGGGTTGGTTTAATTAGAAATAGGCCGTGAAGTGCTTCCTATGCACTGGCATGTTAATTGCTTATCAGAGAAGAGAAGGGGGGGGCGCATTTTTGGTGATGGAAATTTCCATACTCTCCTTCTCTGGGTTTGCCTCCATTTTTATCTCCCACTCCTCTTCTTGTCTCCTGCCTGCTCTTCCTTCCTCCCTTCCTGGCTGGTTGTCATTAGCCTATCTTGCTCTTTGTCCCTTTTCCTTCAGCTCTCCTGCTTATAGCTGTGGGGACTCAGGGAGTTGGAGCAGAACCAAAGGCCAGAATTCAACCCAAAAAGTAAAGATTTCTTGGTCCCTCTCTTCCCCACCCACCTCTGTCACCTCCAGGCTTTGAAGAAATCCCAGAGCAGAGAGTGCTTTCCTTACACTCAGTATGGAAAGAATTCTTTTCCTTTCCTTTCCTCCCCCCCCACCCTTATCATTGTTGTTATTATTATTATTGTTTACTTTTATTTTTTACAAAACAGGAGAAAAGAGTGAATTGGGTTGGGGGCAGGTGACACATTTCTCCACAAAGGTACAAAATTGCCTATAGAAAGTCAACTTCAGAGAGCCCAGGCTGCAAGATGAGGCATTCCTGGGCATCCCTCTCCCCAAATGTCCTTCAGATCCAGCTGGGGGGGTCACTCCCACTTCGGGGACAGATCCCCAAAATGGGAAGGAGAGGCCTCTTTCAGCCCTTGCCCAGGAGGGAAATGAGCAAGCAACTGAGACTGTACAAAGAAAAAGAAGAGGAATGGGTGCATCCTGTAGGCCAAGGGCCAGGGGACACAGGCAGGGGACAACCAAGCAGAGGCCCAGCTGCCCCTGGGCACATTGATAAGTGGGGACATGGGAGGCTCTAGCCAGAGTCCTTCCTGTTCCTTAGAGATATTCCTCAGAATGGCAGCAGAGGACCCCCAGAAGGTAAAAATAACTTTTGGGAGGCTGCAGGAGCACCCCCTGGAGCCACAGAGCCTCAAGTGTCTTGGTCCAGCTGCCAGGCCTCAAGCACACAGGTCCATCCACTTTCCTGGCAGTGCACCTGGCTCAGATCATTTCCCTTTTGGTAAAAAGTCCTAGTTATTTCTCTACCGCTGAGAACTGGCCAAACTTCAGGAATGCTGAGACAATGGTGGTGACAGTGTCATCCCTTCTGGGGATCTACAAGGCTCCCTCCCTGGATTCCAGGGCAGGACAAGGGGTGCTGACACTACACGGACAGAGGGGGCACTCCAGCCCCAGAAAGCCCAGGCTGGAAGGAGAGGCCGCCCACCCACCCCTTGCCTGGGCTGGCCTGTGCCAAGGTGGACCTTGAGCCCAGCTGCCAGTAGGAGCACAGCAACAGCCAGGATGGCTATGAGCCCAGGCCGGTCCCCTAGGGCTCTATGGCAAGGAGACGCCTCTTTAGTCCTGGCCCATACACAAGCCAACTGGGTGTGGGCATCAGCAAAGGCCACTTGCAGGCAGGCCCAGTACTCTGTGGCCTGGACGAGGCGGGTGATGTTGTAGCTGTGAGTGCCCCGGGGCAGACGAGCCAGAGCAGGGACTCCCCGGCCCCGGAGGGAAGAGGCGCTGGACCAGGTGAGGTTGGTGGAGACTATGTTGGGTGGAGGGATCCAAGACAGCAAGATGTGATAGGGATGGGTCTCCTGCACCCGCAGCTCCAGTCCCTGTTCCTCCTCCCTGCCTCGCTGGAAGGACTTATGGCCAACCACCACACTGACTGTCTTAGAGTCAGCCCCCACCAGGTTCTGCGCCACACAGGTGTACAGCCCTGCCTCTTCCGCTGTCACCCTCCGCAGCTCCAGGGTTCCTTCGGGGTACACCCGGTACCTCCTGCCTGCGTGGGCAGGTGTCAGTCGAAGCCCGGATGGAGTAACCCAGTAGATCTCGGGTTCAGGTTCGGCCAGCGCCCGGCAGTGCAGTACCATGCTCTCTCCACTGGCCACCTGAAGGCTAGCGGGGAAGCTGCGGGGGGAGATGAGGGGCAGGCAGTGGTCCGTCATTTCTCGGAAGGGCACCTCGCGGACTGGGCGGCGCTGGAGGTCAGGCGGTTCCGCGCACAGGGTGGACTGTGGCTCAATGAAGCGAAACCGGGTGCCCGTGGCATTGGCCCAGCGGATGACACAGTCACAGCGAATGGGGTTTCCATGGAGCCCCACCTCCTGCAGGTTGGGCAGGGACTCCACTGTCTGCTGGTGCAAGGCACTGAGAGCGTTGTTGTTGAGCATGAGTGTCTCCATCTGGGGCAGGTGGTGGAAGGCGCGCGGGTGGATGAAGGACAGCCGCGGGTTGTTGGTGATGTCCAGCTTGGTCAGCTCAGGGAGGTTAACCAGGGCAAACTTGTCGATGGAGACCAGCTCCTCCATGTTGTTCAGCCCCAGCTCCTTGAGGTGCAGCATGTTGGCGAAGTCTCTCTGCCCCACCCGCTGCAGAGGGTTCTTATTCAGATCTAGGAACTTGAGCCCGGGAACCTGTTCCAGGGCCCGCCTGGGCACCCGGGCCAGCTGGTTGTCGTAGAAGGAGAGACTCTCCAGGCTTTGCAGCCCCTCCAGGGCGTAGTCAGAGATCTCCCGCAGGCTCATGCCTGCCAGCACCAGGCTGCGCAGGTTGGCCAGGGGCCGGAAATTCATGTCCAAGATGGCGTCCACCTTGTTTCCACCGATCATGAGGATCTCCAAGTTGGGCAACATCTCGAACCAGCGGCTGTCAATGGCCCTCAGCAGGTTGGAGTTGAGGTGCAGCCGCAGCAGGTTGCTGAGGCCGGCGAAGGCCCTGGGGGCGATGCGGTAGAGCTGGTTGTGGTTGAGATAGAGCTCCTGCAGGCTGGTCAGCCCGACAAAGCTGTGGTCCTCCAGCCGGCTCAGCTGGTTCTCCTCCAGGTGCAGGCTCAGCAGCTGTGGCAGGGCCCGGAAGTCACAGTCTCGAGCATCCGAGAAACTGTTCTGGGACAGGTCCAGCTCTGTGAGGTTGGCCAGGTAGGCGAGCTCACTCTGGTCCACGCGGACGATGCCATTGCTCTGCAGCAGCAGGGTCTGTGTCCCCGCAGGGAGCGCGGGGGGCACCGCTGTCAGAAAGAGGTCATTGCAGTCCACGGTGGTGGCCTCGCGGTAGGACGAGCGGGGTGTATACCAGGGCCGGATCTGGCAGGCACACTGAGGGGGACAGGGCACACGCCAGGGCACCACGGGCACAGCAGCAGTGGCACCAGCCACCCAAGCTAGCAAGAGGGGGGCCACAAGGAGCCTCATGGTGGAGCTGCAGGGCAGGGGACCCTCCACAGGAACAGTCCAGGGTCCTTCTGCTCTTCGTGGTTTGCAGCTGAGGGTCAGCAGCCCTGCCAGGGCCTGTGGATCCACCCTCCCAGGGCAGTCATTCTATGTGGGCATCACTTTGTGCTCTCCTGTGTTTGGTTCCTCATCCTTGTGTGCTGGGTTGGGTCTGCTCACTCATCACCCTGGCTGGTCCAGGCAGCCCTAGAAGGAGAGGATGCAGAGTTAAGGAGGTAGTCAGGAAGCAGGAGCTCCCCCTCCCTCCAGCTCTCCCCTGGTTGACTCAGGAAGCCAAAGGAGCAGCAGAGGTGCTGGCTTGGGCTGGAACCAGGCCCTTTGGGGTCTGTCCTGCAAATTTAGGGCTGGAGTGTCTTTTTCTATGGCCTGTTTTGAGAATGGGTGAGTGAGTCTTCAGGGAAGAGCCATGGGATACTCAGAAGAAGGGGTGTATACGTTTGGGAGGAAAGGAGAGTGGGCAGGCTGGAATTGTCATCTTTAGAGTCCTTCTGAGCCCAGAGAGATGAGGAATAAATTAAAGGCCAGACCCTTTCTTGCTCTTTCCTCCTTCCTTCTTTGGCTCACTGGGAAAATGGAAGACAAATGATAGATTCTAGACATCCTCAGGTGCTGAAGGTGGGAAGGGAGTAGTGGAAACAAGAGTAGCTTCTAAAGTGTGGGATGGACTCTCTGGGAGTTGAAGGACAGTGGGCCCTGACCCCACATCCACTCAGGCTGGGGCAGAGGGGGTGGTTCTGCCTGGGATCTGCTAGGCTCTCCTGGGTGGGGAGATTGCTTTGGGTTTTGGCAACTTCCTACCCTGGAGGTACAGTTTTCCTTTCCCAACTGCCTGACAGAACTGCCCAACAAGAGGTAATGGGTTCAGAGGCCTGGGTCTGAACTCCAGCCGGGCAGGTAAAACCTTCTGTAACACCGTGTACAAGCCTTTTGGGGTTGAAGTCACCCTGCCCAGCCACACCTTCTTATGTCAGCTCATTGTCTTCCTGACAACTCCTACTTGTTGTTCAAGACTCAAGTTCAATCACCTCCTACAGAAAGTCCTCACCCTCCCTTGCAGGGGCTGGTTTTGTGCTCTTATAGTGACGTTCTTCCTATGTCACAGCCCTGACCACACTGTTTAGAAAGCTTTCTCCAGCTAGAGACCTGTCTTGCTTACTGTTGTACTGTAGTAGAGGATCAGTGTGCAGTGTTTATTCCAGGACTCAGGCTCTATAGCTCCAGAGCCCCTCTTCCTCCAGCAGATCTCCCCCATCTGGAATCCAAGCTGCTGCTGTTTCCTCCCTCCTAGGTGTGGGTTACCAACTCATGTTCTCTCTCTGCTATCCCAGAGGCAAGTCCAGCCTTGGCCTAGAACTAAGATGGCCAGACCCTGTGTTCCCTTCTCTGGCCTGGCCTGACTCCTGAGTGGAGGTCTGGTTTCTGGTAGATTCTCAATCACAGGTGTCAGGGAAGCACAATGAACATTTACCCTACACCTGCCATCAACCAGGACTCTTCAAAGACTCTGGTTTCATTTCATGTCATAACAGACCTGTAGGTTAAGAATTCATATCTTTAGTTTGCAGATAGAGAAACAAGTCTGGAAGGGGTCAAAGAACTTGGCTCAAGTCACATAGATGGCAAGCAGAAACTCAGAAATCAATCCCGTCTGGAGGTTGTGCTGTCTGCCCCAGGTCTGGCCCCAGCCTGCTTTGGGCTCCAGCGCTGGGAGTGCACTGGCTGCCATAGCAGTAGGTTGGTGAATGTTCTTATCCTCTAGGTGAGGACTCCTTACCAGGAAGCTGCCAAAAGCTGAGAGCCATGTCTCCCAGCTCCCTGGCAGACACCTCTCAGCTGGCCAGTAGGGCTTTTAGCTGCTGCATCCCACTTTCAGGATGCTGGGGAGAGGAGCAGTTGGGGCAGAGCTGGGAGAGCAGTGTGCCTGTGTACATCTACTTCCTACTTTCCTCTGCAGTTATTTCTGAAGGTGGGAAAAACAACCGTGACTTGAAAGGCATAGAGGTTTGCGTAGGGGTGTGTGTGTACTGACACGTAAAACTTGGGTAAATAAACACACGTGCAAACATGCATGTATGCCTATATCCATGTGCAAAGGGAACCCAGCTGTTTGAGCCAGTGACTCCCCAGTCTCTGGGAGAAGGAATTTCGTGCTGTATATTTGGGGTGGAAAGGAAACAGAGAACAAACTGCTTCCCCAAGTGGTCTGTGTCATGAATTGGATCTAAGGCCAGTGGTCCTGTCATGCTTATTACATATCAGAGGTCCAAGACTTCTCTTCTCTAGATCTAACTTGAGAGAGTGAGTCCACCTGCTAATAAACCAGGAACTAAAACTTGGCTCTGCCTCTCGCTACTGTGGGAAAAGTTCCTTTACTTTTCTGAGCATCTGTTTCCTTATGTATAAAATAAAGATGTTGCGGGGAGCGGGGGGCGGGCAGTGGCTCATGCCTATAATCCTAGCTACTTGGTGGGCTGAGATCTGGGAGGATTGTGGTTGAAGGCCAGCCTGGGAAAATTTTGTAAGACCCCCGCCCGCCATCTCCAAATTAATCAGAGCAAAATGGACTGGAGGTGTGGCTCAGCAATAGAAAGCCTGTTTTGCAAGTGTGAAGCCCTAAGTTCAAACCCCTGTTCTCCCATAAATAAATAAACAAACAAACTGTTGTAGAATGAATTGAGTTGATTGTGTTGCATTCAGAAAGAGTTCAGTGAATGTTAGGTCTTTTCCATCTCTGCGCATGTCCCAGGGTTGGGGGGCTCTTCAGCCATAGGACTTCTTGGGGAACCATAGACTTCTAGGCAACAGACAATAGGGTGCAATAAGCCTTTACTAAGCTTACCCATTGGAGGCCCAATGTTACCCCAAGGTGAGGTGGGGAGTCACAGGCTGAAATAGATAACATGGTCACCCTTCAAGAGTGCCAGCTGGTTGGGGAGTCAGGACACAGACTGCACAATAATGAGGCCTGTGAGCCCAGGACTGCTCACACGTGGACAGGAGGGTGAAGTTGAGTAGGTGAGAGGACTTTTCATCGAGGGACCACATCATATCCCGACCCTTAGGCCCCATCCAAGCCCCTGATTTCTGTCTTCATCTCCAACACCTTTGTTCTAAGTGTTGAGTCAGTGCTTAGTTACACCCAGGGAATCAAGAAGCCACTTAAACCCCCAAAAGCTCTACTCCAGGCAACTCCCTGCTCGTGGCCTCCTCTAGCTGGGCTGGGTGGTGGTTGCAGCAGAGCTCACTACACCTGGGCTGGGAGCTGAGGGCCAGGCTTCAGCATCCAGGAAGGCAGCAGCTGCACACAGCACTTCTGACCCGAAGGCGTAGTGAAGTCTCAGGCTAGTATCCCCTCCCCCCATCACTGCTGAGCGTGACGCCAGTCCCAGGATGGCGCTCACAGCTGCCCACTCACCTGCCATCACCACTTAAGGCTGTCTTGCACATGGCCCACTCTCACGGGCTGATGAGCAATTTCTACTGTGGAGCTGTAGAGAAAGCTAATTGTCTTTTATCTATAATCTCCTGGGTGATCAGGAGTTCAGACCACCACGTGTACATTTTCTCCAACTAGATCGCAAGCTTCTTGCAACAGGGGCCCTGTTGCACATGCTTTTTGTGTCCCCAGAGCACAAAGTGTAGGATTGCGCATATAGAGGGTACTCATGAGTGAATAAAAATGGTAAAACATGCAGATCACATGTACATTAGAGTTAACTCTTCCATCAACTCTGTGTGTAGACAATGCAGGGATTATTTAGTTTCATTTTGCTTAGGAGGCACCTGAGGGTCAGAAAGCTTAAGTGATTTGTCAGAGGTTGCACAGCTTCTTTGTTGTGGGGTGAGAATGCAAACCCAGGATCTTTGACTCTAACCTGCCAAACCAGCCACTCAACGTGGATCAATGGCCTGCTCTCTGGGAGTGCCAGGCTGGCTTGGAGGGCCTTTAGTTGCAAATCCCTTCAGAGATGGCAGGACCCTTTTTTCTTGACTCTTGGCTAGAGTCCCTCCTTCTTTGGGGAACAGTATGGAAGGACCCCATTTCTGTACATCCTTAGGGACAGAGCCAGTTGCAAGGGCCTCTGTCTGCCACCCAACTATGCAGTAGGTGCCAACCAGGAGACAGAATGCCATGGAACCACAGTAGGGAAGCAGGGCCAGGTGTCCACTCCAAAGACAACTAGTTGCACCTACTTCTCCAGGGAGCATCTTTGGATTTAGCAAATACGAAACTGATTCCTATAACTTATTAAATATCTAAGACCCGTGGCAAAATTCTAAAGGCAGAGTTTGGGGGACTCTATCATACTATTCCTCCTTCTTGGGCTCCGCCTCCAGTACCAATCCTGCCAGGCATTAAGATCCTCCTGGTATTGAGATGGAGGTTGATGCTTGTGAGATCTCTCCCTCCCTCGCTGCTCTCTCTCTCCTCTCCCATGCCCCACCCAAACCCTGGGAGCTGAGGGTCCAGAGGGAGGACGACAGGCAGGCAGTGATCGATTGCCTGGCCTTGGCTGCTTTGGTGCCAGGTCCCTCTGAGCCGTGGAGACAGATGGGCAGCATAATTGAGTGTAGCATTGATAAACTCCGGCCTCCTCAGCAGCAGATAAGCGCTGGGTGGAAGGGGTGCAGAGGGAGGAGGAAGACTGGCCTCCATCTGTACACCAGTTCCTCCTGGGAGGTAAGCAGGGCCTCTTACTCCCGCCTCTCATTTAAGCACAAACAACCAGAACCTTGGAACTGGAGGAGACTTCAGTGTTATCTAGTCTCCTGGAGTCTGAGTTCCATAAATAACTAATGGCTTGCAGGAATGGTGGAGTGGAAGGAGCCTGGGCTTTGTGATCAGGGTTTGAGATTGTCTCTGCCACTTCCTGTGTGACTTTGGGCCTTAATCTTGTGAGCCTCAAATGCCTTAGCTGGGAAATGGGGACTGCAGGATGTAAGGCCTATAAAGTACCTATACGTTCCCTTCACTTCCCCATCTTGTGGCCTCACATTCGGTCTTCACTTCTTACCTTTTGTAATGTATATTTTTATGTTGTGAGGTATGAAGTATACAGAGGAGAGTGCTTAAAGGACACCAGTCCAGGCTCTATAAGTTTCTACATATGGAGATAGCTGAGTAATCACCACCCAGATCAAGCCATAACCACTCCAGCAC